CCCCCCTCCTCTTCCTAAACAGCATTAAAAAAACAAAAACAAACAAACATCCCTTTTAGTTTCTCTCAAAACCAAGGGAAGGTACACGATTTGGACAACAATAGTCTAACCATAGCTAGATACCCTATTTCCTAAATTGGTTATATAATAAGTCAATCCCATTTTAAAAATGTACTGAACTAAGTCTTTAAAAAGTACTGTCACAAACTGTCTGTTTCTTTCTCACCGAGGACATGCATTCTGGCTATTCGACAACCCTTAAAGACGCGCTGTTTAGCAGCACTTAAAAAAACCCCGGAAGTATAACTATTTTATTCAAACAAATTAAATAGATATCTTATAGGAAAGAAGGAGTAAACCACAAAAGAGCACCCGCCAAGCACCCACTTCAATACTGCTTCTTTTATGTGAAACTTAAATGCAACTACATACATTTATGAAATACATGTAAGCATGTTTCCGATTTGAAGAACAATATGGTGTTTCATAATGTATGTCAACCTTGCCTTTGGTAGGTTTCTAATCGGATATTTTATGTGCCCTTCAAAAAAGAAGCATAACTACTTTATACAAACACATTCTTTCAATACTGTTTTCTTTATGTAAAACCTATCATGCAGCTACATGCATTCTGAGAAATATGCATATTCCTGATTTGCATGTGGTTGTTCTTGATGCACCGCAACACTGCCTTTAGTCTTTAGCTGATCGGGCATGTTCTGTGTCGGCGACGTATTTAAAAAGAGTTTTTGAGTTTGTTGTTGTTGTTTTTTTGTTGTGTTTTACGATGCTCGCAACTGCATATGGTAATATGAGCGCGCGGGACACATCAAACATTTTCAATTGGTAGGAAATTTTGAATTTGCTTGGGTGGTGGCCCAAGCCTACTCTTATCGATTTTAGACCACCAAGGGATCTTTAACTTGCGCAACTTTCGCAACTTGCGCACGGGACCTCGGAGATTTTTTCTCCCTTGTCCGAGAAGGCTAGGTGTAGATCTTTCCTACCAGAAGATCAGGGGTGTGACTGGAAGACAACAGTAAGAAGGAGCAAAGGAGTAGCAGTAGAAAGGCTGCAGAAAGAGCCATGAGCCCAGAGGTGGGGGCAAAGGAGCTGAGGAGGTGAGGGCCGAAAGTGGAGACGAAAGCAGACGACACAACATTGCTAGAGAGCAGGAAAGGAGGTGAAAGGAGACATTTTTAGAGATAAAATGTTTTCCGTCGCTACCCGGGTTCGAACCCAGGACCTTTGAATGAGAGGCGAACACCTTAACCTCTAGGCCACGAGAGCCCCCAAAAGAATTTAAGTCTCACTTATCAGCTTACCCAACCACTCACTATAAATTCTTCTTTATTTTTCCCTCGTGTAGCCTACGCTAAGCAGGGAGGTACTCTGAGATTCAATTTCCCAAACTTCACATTTCTGCAAGTCATTCTTTAAACAATCCCTGTTTGAAACATGTCCTATTTGTTCACGTGCAAGACACTGCTATCACTCTTGAACACGAACTCGAGTTAGGGTCCCAAGTACCAGACAAACACGAGAGTAAGCGATAACGAGTATGTTGTGACCTGAGAGGTTTAGGATTGGTGGGGGGGAAAGGGGGGGGGGGGTGAGCTAAAAAAAACCCCTTTCCTGTGCCATTATATTATCGTGACCCTTTCACCACTGACTTAGAAAAACCCAGGTGTATATGTTAAAATGTAAAAGAAGATGTTTTACACCCCCGTCGACATGATTCAACTCGTTTAATAGGAGGCAGGCTGCTTTGACCACGCCTGTGAGGGTCAACTTGGATGGGGGGTTTTTTCTTGCACTACTTACAGCCCTCCGTTGTCAAGGTGTGGAAATGTTCAGTATACATAAATACATATGCATATATATTTACGCTCTCGTCGACTCATGCAGACAAACGGAGATACGCGCAGAAAAACCTCCCCACACTCTCGTTTTAGGCGTGAGACGGCGATTAAGCGCCTTACATGGCAGACGTTGGTCAACACAGGAAGTGCCTATTGGAAGACTTGTAGCCCCCCCCCCCCCCCAAAAAAAAAAAAAAAGCAAATGGAAGAATTGTAACTCCCTACCCCAAAACCCCCCAAACTTATAAAGAAAAAAAATATTGGGGAAAAGGGGAGTGGGTAGAGTGGGGGCACGGGGTGAGAGAGGTGTGGTTACAATTTTCAACATTTTTCAACCTCTGATGTTCATTCAGCAACTTCTAACGCGACTTCACATTCGGATGATTCAGCGTGCTTCGTTTTGGCCACTCGTCTGGGTTTAAATGATGATGATTTTTTTTCCACAAACGCCACGACACTTTTGCGCCTCTTTGAACATCGCATGACCTGTAAAGAGCTTATCCAAACAGGACAGAAGCGAGTAGGTAGCGGGCTCATCTAACGAGGAACAGACTGAGGTTCGAAGTTGTTGCATTGTTCTCAGAAGGGCAAAAGCGTGTTAGTTTACTTGAGAGTGTGTATACATACAGAAAAACGAGCAGAATCATTAAAGCAAATTTGAAGAAATGTAACATTAAAAGTAAAAACGCCTTCAAGAAACCCTGGTTATTTTAGATGCTTTGCCATCTTCGACAAACATGGGCCGAGACATTGACTTACACGTTATGACTGTGGCTAAGTGAAGTTTTGCGTGTGTAACCCGGAACCATTGAGAACGTCCGCTTTTTACCGCAGTCACTACAATTAATTATTTGTTTTGTATGCTTCTCTAAAAATCGGTGTCCGTGGTGCAGCAGTTAAACAATTCGCCGTCGCACGCAGAAGAGCTGAGTTCGATTCCCGTTTGGAAAGAAGTTTTTATAGTGTATCTAGGTCTGTTTGCAAGTATGTTGTATCCATCTCTGTCCAGGTTGGCTCAGAAAGGCAGGGTCGAAGCCCACCTCCTAATTAAATGATCTAAATTATGTCGACAGAAGTTTAAAACATCTAGGTTAAAAGGCTTTCTTCACTAGAGTTCTGAGGTCTTACACTGCAAACAGATCAATTGACATTGCACAGATGGGAAACAACACCAACAAACAAACAAACAATAGATAGATAGATAGATAGACAGATAGACAGAAGGACAGATAGATATATCCGATCAAAAAGAAGTTGCTAGCATTTTAAAAACATCCAAAACCTGAATGGTCCTGAAACAGCTGGTTCCTTGTACTTAACTCTCTCTTTTTTCTTTGTATGTATTCTCAATGTAAAAGAACACGCTTACGAAAGTTTTTAATTAAGAAGAATCATGTTTAATGACGACATCGAGTTGACCTTGTGTAAACTAGCCAGCTGACATTTTGGCCTTTAAGGCTGTGAAACGGGGAAAGTAAATCTGACACTCCCCCTCCCCTTTTTAAAAATTAAAATGAGTGAGAATGGTCTTTCGTGAATGAAGCCTAGCGACCGATATGTGGTTTAAAAACCCCCCACAAAAAAACGAGTCGAGACCCCGTATGAGCCTGCGAAGTAAAGTAAGTTCCTTGGGTTGAGTTTACTCGCACCCCGGCCATCACGATAACGTGTTATAACATACGTATAATCATGTTATGCATGATGACGCATTGTGGAATTTGTCAGAACGTATTCAGCTGGGTGGAAGCGGGTACAATGTGTAATGTAGAAAAAATTAAATGTCATTGTTAGTCTGCAGTACACGCGAACACATAGATAGATAGATAGATAGATAGATAGATAGATAGATAGATAGATAGATAGATAGATAGATAGATAGATAGATAGATAGATAGATAGATAGATAGATA